CTTGATATCTAGGGAGTATGTTTCATTAAAAAAATACTTCTTGCAAAACTATGCAGATAATAAAAAGATTAGTGGTTGCCAGGGGTTAAGGGAAGGGGATAGGGGAGAGAAGAAAAACTGGCAGAGCACAGAGAATTTTGTAAAAATACCCTGTAGAATGCTTATAATAATCAATACATTCTGACACATATGTCCAAACCTATAGAATGTACATCAAGAGTGAACCCTAATGTAAACTATGGTCTTTTGAGTGATTATGATGTATCAATGTAGGTTCATCAATTCTAACAAACGAAACACTCTGGTGGGGAATGTTGATAATGGGGGAGGGTATATGGGAAATCTGTACCTTCCTCTTAATCTGGCTGTGAATCTCAATCTGCTCTCAAAAAATAAAATATTTAAAATAAAAAGAGACTTCAAACCTAAACCTATCCAAATCAAAGTAGATTCCAAATCATTACATAGAATTAATGAAGGTATTGAGCTAGTTTACTGGCTACCACTAAACAATGTTCCACTGAATTAATGTACCTATCAAGCACTTATACACTGTTCCCATATCCCCTTCATAATTCTCATCAGCATACTACTCTACACTTCACCTCCTGACTTCGTCCCTTCCAAAGCTTTCTACTCTGCCCTCTGAGAATGCCATTGCATGATAGCAAGCTTCCTTAAATTCTCAAACCATCAATTAATTCTTTCACCATCAACTTCCTTGTCTACTAGTCTACTTATTATACTCTGCTGATAAACTCCTGCCTGTTTCACTTTGTGGCTAAATCCTAGATGCTGAATTCTGCTGGCTATAATCATCCAAGTTTACAAGTTTGTGTCACCTATAAATTAGGATGTCTAATCTAAATTTGGCTCCCAAGGTTATGCATTCTTTATCAACTCAGGCTAACCTTTGTCACTCTCCACAAATCTTCAAATGCTATATCTTATCACTCACTTTCAGCAAACTACCTCATCCTAATTTATCAAAAAAGAGATTAAAGCATCAGTGATATTTCATGGAACTCTCTGCCACTGAACTAATGAACTTACTGTACCTAAACATCTTCTTTTTCCCTTCCCTATTATTATAATGAAAATAATGACCCTCTGTCTATAAATCACTCCATCTTGGCTCTAGACTGCATACCTCCAAATTTCCAAGACCTCAGGACTCCTCTTCCATTGATTTTAACTTTTTCAATTACTACCGTAACATTTCCCTTTATTGCTCATGCAGAGTTGGTATAGAGCACGCAATTCGTTATTGGAAATATAGAGTACACACTCAAGACTATGGATTCTTGAGAGATTGCAAAAAGCACCATGTTCGTCATAGTCACAATGACTGTCTAGTGGAAGCATCTATTTTCTAGAACCTTTCGCAGGACAACCATAAATGTCATGGTCCAGAGTTTGAATTTGATTATTAGTCAACGGAAGAGCTGTAAATCAGGAAAAGGACTTTTTTTTTCTCCCTCACTAAGATGACTCCAGCTAATGAGATCAAGGGCAGGGTTTAAGGTGAGTAAAATGATTCAGACAGTATCCTATACTTTGGCCAGGTATCTTCAGCAGAACAAATACGTCTCTTACTCAAATCTAAATCCATTTCTACAATATGGAAAACAATACAATCTTAATACTAAAAATCATAACAGAAAAGCATAATTTTATTATATCAACTTCAGTGAACTATTTTAATTATTACCAATTTATTCATCAGTAAAGCCAGGCACTCTCTTCTAGTTCTAAAATTCTATGATATTATAACAGAAAGAAAGGAAGATCTGGGACAAAAACAAAATTACAAGAGACAAAATGGAGTAGGCAGGAATATTCAGAACATCTTAGATTTTTTTAAAGTAGGTTACTAAATATTTTATACATGAAGATGGAAAGAAAGCTTTGAAACAGACATTATATAAAAAGGTATTACATTAAGTACTAATTATCTAAATACTATAAAAGCTGTAAGTAAGACATATAAAATTGAAGCTAAAAACACCAGCAATATGTAACAAAATGCTATTCTCAAAAGATACCTAATAGAGGAAAATATTCTTTCATCATGAGCAGCATTCCAATCTTTTATAAGCTGTGGAAACAACTAGTCATTCCAGGAATGTTATTTTATTAATAGGTTAAGTTTCCTTAAACCTTAATACTACTGTTTTCAGTTTAAAGTAAAATTATTACTTTTTTCTTTCAATTGATCATCACTGAAAGTTACATGCTAAGAATGAATAATCATTAACAGTTAAACAAACATTTTGCTTTTTTATGGTTTCAGTTGAACTACAAGTAACTTGTCAATTATTAATTAATACCCTTTGTTCAAAGATCTTGTAATTTAATTTATGTATATAACGAAATTTAATAGGTCGCAGAGAAAATGTCATACTCGCTATGCTATTCTCTATTTGAAAAGGCAATTCAACCAGTTAAAAGTTTAATTGGCATGGAATATATGCCCTAAGATTTTGCATGTATATATCCAAACAGTTCTTTTTTCCAACCTCACTCACTTTCCTCAACCACCCATGAAAATAAACCAATGGTATGCAGTTTTCTCACTATCATTCCTATTATGTGGCTATTTTTGCTAATGCTTTCCAGAATACTCAAAATCATTTAATTCAATAATGTACTTTTTCTTTATAAATGTTTATATTTAGATTTGAGAAATTAAAGACTTATTTGTTTACTTATGGAATCTATAACAGGAATTAAGAAGAAAAACATGAATCCTACACAGGGAAACCATTGATTAAAGTCCAATATTTGACTACTTAGAAAATGAATCATCTACAAATTCCCTTATGGGAAAAATGTTCAAAAGGCTTCAAATACATGGAGAACCCCATGAAAGACATATATTAAAATAAACAAACATACTAGAAAGGTGATGATTTTTCAAGTAAACATGACAACCCCATTAAAATGCAGCACACGTTTTTCTGCAAAAGGGAAATAAATCTAAAAAGATGAAATAGATGCTTTATATAAAATATTTACATATACAATGTGCAAAACCCACTACGGTTAGTAACCTTTATGGCTTTGAAGAACTAGATATTTACATATCTTTCTTTCTGCATGTGCATGTGCGTATGTGTGTTTTGTATATATTTTTAACAGTTGACAGCTGTTTTAGAGCATACAGAGATGCCAAGCTGAATGAGGGTCTTGATTACTTCAAGATTAGCTATCTGAAGTTTCTATTCATTTTAAGTGTTGTTAGTTGGAAGAGTCATTAGTCACTTCCTTGTCTCATAGAACATCAGCATACATTTACATTGTTAATGAACATTTGGGGTAAATGAATTAATGGCACTTTTAAACATCAATTCAGTCCTAATAACTTTGTATGTCATAGAAATGTTAGGCTAGGATATAAACGAAAAGCCTTTTCAGTAAAGGTAACTACTCATTCCTGCAACAATAAAGGATAAAATTAATTTAAAATGTTTTTTAACCAGTATTTTTTTTTTTTAAAGAAAAGCCTCAATAGTTAATGAACTAGACCAGAGAAAAATATGCACTTAAAAAACAACAACAATTCAATGCTCTAAAATAAGCATTTTTGCCAGAAAATTTTGGTGAAACTATTTTATATATGTGTAACAAAAACATATTCACGTTCATAATATCCACTGATATAAGGGTTTGCAAAATAATTGGACTTATTTAATTATGAGTGATTCTTACAGGTATTGCATTTAAGAAAAATCACTAGGGAAGGCAGTATTCTTACCACTGAAATTTTTAAAACGCTGAAACTGAAATGGGACAGTAATAATTTTTCATATTTCTTTTTGAGACCTTTTAAATAAAAGCAAATATAAAAATAAAATCACAAAAATAAGTTGTATGGCAAGTTATTTTCAACACACACTCCACAAAGCCAAGAGTTTGTATATTAAAGAAATAGCCACTTTAAGGAATCAATTATTTTTAAAATTCCCAAAATATGCATTAATGGCAGATCTTTATTTCAATTTAGAAAAAAATTGTATTTGAAGTATACAAAAACAAATGTAAATTACTTTGGCTAATTATGATTTTAAAAATAGATCTCACAATCCTGATACGTGTATTTCATGAGTAAAAAATTACAAGGAGTTTCCTGAGTCGATAAATCAACTTTATCCAACACTTAGTGAATTTGTTAAAAATAAGGATAAAGCTTCAAGAATTCTCACAAACTCATTTCCTTCTAAGATACCATATTATTACTAATACTGAGAAAATAATACAGAGCTCTGATATATACACATCTGATCAATTTTTATGGGGTAGGCCCTGAATACAGTTCATCTTTTAACAATCTATCTTTTAACAATTTCAATGCATAGATCTTCAAAAGTACAACATAAACTTCAATTATTTTTGTTTAAAGGAGATTCAGGCAGGTCTTTTATTCTGGAATAATCTCATCTTGCTGGAGAGGGAAAAAATCCCTGCAAAATCAACACCAAAAAGCTCAGACTCCTTTAAAAGAAGTTTGACAAAAGTCACTTTGCATTTCAACATCCTTATACTAAAGTAATTAAGTTTATGTTTTTTAAAAACAAATGGCAGCACATTAAATATTTGGCTAATGCTTTGGCCTATAATTGGAAGTTGACCTTTTGTGGTATTCAGTTCTGTCAGCATGCTCTATACAGACCCAGGGAAATGCTCTTCAAAGTTGCCCTGCTTGGCTTCACCCACAGCAGGGGTGGGGAATGTCCGGCCCACGAAATCATTTGGTCTGGCCCTGCCAAGGCAACCACAGGCAGGACTCAAATAAATCTAGGTTTTTACATAGCCAATTTTGAAGTTGATAATTTTGTATGGCCCGGGAATGATATTATAAATATCCAAATGGCCTGGGCAGAAAAAAGCTTCTCCACCCCTGACCTAGAGAATTACATAAATAAGGCAGGAAGAGCTAACTGAAGGCCCTCTGCTACATTTCACTGTAACTGCAGAATGTCTCTACATACAAAACTCACCTCCTGTCTTGTTTGAGTAACTTGACAAGGGGTCAATGCCCACTTCTTGTTCTTCTGGCTGCAGAGGATGGCTAGTTTCAGATAAGGAATGATACATTGTGAAAACTGGACAGGGTCAGCAAAAGTGATGACCTGGGAGATGAAAAATATAGAAGAAAAAAGATAAATATGCTTTCTTTCTGCTGTGGGAATAAATATAAGACTAAATCATTAAATGAGCATTACAGACATTAACAAATTTTCTACAGGCTCCAGGGACTTCACTACACATCGGTAGGAGGAATACGCAAAGAATCGAAAAAGTGAACTAAATTTCCATGTCAACAATTTTTCCCGAAACCTGAAATACACTGGTAACCTTTACCTCAATGCTCAATCACACTGTCAATAAACTGCACAAGAAGTTGAATTGTAAGTAGAATTATCACATTGGTAACATTCTTTTACTTCACTGCCAAAATAATATACATTTATAAAAGAAACTTTCAAGATACAGAAAATATAGCAAACTAAAATCATTCATAATTGTATTAGCTAAAAGTACTGCTGTTAACATTTCAGTTTATTTTATATATCCTTCCTGCCTTTCTTCTGGGCATTTAAAATATATATACTTTTAATGTGATTCATCATGCTAAACATACTGATTATATAAATTACAGTGTTTTCCTTCCCATAAAAAATATATATCATCACTTGTAATGCATCCCCATTATATAGCTATAATAATTTAAGGCAACCAATTCCTTATTAGTAAACAATTAAGATGCTTTCAGTTATTCAACATTATAAACAGCCTCACAATAAGAATCTTTTAGTAATATCTGTGTCACATTCATGATTATTGTCTTCTGATAAATTCTTGTAAGTGTAATTGCTGAACCAAAACGTGTATATTTTAAAAATAAGATTTTGTGATAAGTTTTTGGCAAATTTCATTTCCCATGGATCTTCATTAAACATGGGAATGGGTAATTCCTGGGGGTTTTCTGGGGGGGTAGTGTGACAGTCAAATTTTATATTGCATTTGCTTGGTAACTAGTGAGATTACTGAAGACTTTGCACGTTTTCTCCGACATTTGTTTATTGTCTTGTGTGGATGGAGTTTATTATTATAATTGGCTTTATGATTTGTAAGCATGCTTTCAATATTAAGGATGTTAAACCTTTTTCATAGGGTATATATATTTTTCTCAGACTGTGTGTATCTTCAAATTATGTGGCACTTTCGTGATGTAAGTAATTTTTTCACTTTTATGCACCCAAATTTATCTATATCTCTTTTATGGTTTCTGTCTCTGATGATATACATACAAAGGCAAGATTATAGAAATACCACTTATATTTCCTTTTATAGTTTTGAAGATTTTCCTCCTCAATTCTTACATCTATAAGCAAGTACAATTTACACAAATATTTTTTAAATTAAATTATTTTTGGACTTTCAAGCTACACTAACAGAAGCAGAGGGTTAAGCAAAACCAACACTAGAGAAAGCAGAAAACTTTTGTCACTAACATACAATAAGAATTTATAAAGCTGTAAATCCTAAACTCATAAATGTAGACAGCTGTTAGTATTTGCTTGTGTGCAAATCAATCAACATATACTGAATACTTAAAATTGTTAAAAAAGAACCAGCAGGCCCAAAATGGAGTCACTTGTGCTAAACCCCATATCAGCAAACTAAAACTTAATACCTAATCTAATTGCAGTATCAGCTTCTCCCAGGAATGTAACCTTTAACGGGTCAACCTGGAATTACCTGGTCAGCACTAGTGAGGCAATCCCCAGTAAGTAATCCCCTTCTGTCCCGCATAGGTAAACTAATGAAATATGAAACAATCTACTCTTTTCCCCATTCTGCCTATAGAAGCCTTTCTGTACAGCAACTGGGAGCTCCTCTCTATTTCCTGGAAGGGATGCTGTCCAACTTATGAATCACTGAATAAAACTGATCTTCAAATTTACTCAGTTGAAATTTTGATATTTAATACTATACAGAAGGAATTCTGGGGAATATGATCTAGTAGAGAATAGCAAAATATAGATTCTAAAACAGAATCTGTAAAATTCTCCCTAAGTCCTTTTCTAGGGAGAAGTAAGGATCACCAACTCGAATGCCTAAGAGGGCCAGGCAAAAGGCAGTAATTATAGTTAACAACTACAGAGCAATGAATATACGCCAACAAAAACCACTCTTCGTGCTTCATGTAGTACTCTATGTCGCATCTTCATCACCATTTTCATCTTACCAAAGAGAAAACTGAGGTATAGAGAGAAAACTGAGGCACAGAGTGATTTGCCTAGTCACACAATTAGTAAGTGTTGAAGTCAGAATATGAACCCATCCTATTCCATCCAGAACTCACATTCTTTACGCCTACACTACATTTGGCTCGCATTAGTCAATGAGATAAATAGACGAGTTATAGAACAGGGCCTATAAGAGGACAGGGTCTGTGAATAATTGGAACATCCTTTATTCTGCTTCAACCTTCCAAGACAAGCTAGAAATACAGAAATTTCTGTGAAGCCTCTTTCCTTGTGTTGGCAAATAATTCAAATTTTAAGAAAAAAGAACTTTATGAAACAAATTAAACATATTTGAAAATTGTATCTGGCCCATGGACAACTATTTTAATGTAAGATTCATATTCTTTATACATTTTGTTATACTCTTAAAACACAAGAGTAAACATTTGAAAATGCATATTCCAAGTTAACTACCAGATTTCTTTAACAGTTCTTTAATCTCCCATAGCATGTGTTCATATCATTACGGTAATTTTATTTTTATAGTTTATTTCACTGTTACAAACTTCACATATCTAAAATATACAAATAAAGGGACTTTATATATTCTATGAGAAACAGATAAATGATGAGCAAACATATCAAAGTGTATTTTTTAAAGGATGTAAAAAAACCTTTCTATAGCTAAAATAAAATACTCTAAACTATGATAATATTTATACATTTATGTAAGATGCTCGAAGGTACTCAATGTTTTTTGACTCCTTGGAGAAAGTTAGGTTCAAGAAATCATTTGATTTCAGCTTTAATAATAATTCTTTATAAATTGACAAGTCTACAGTAAAACTCAATAACCACAATACAAAATTTACCAAATACACCAGTCTGCAATAATTCTATACATTTAGACATCCACTAGATTCTAATGTATTATGCCTATGGATTAAAACAGAATAACTGAAATGCTTTTACAATTAAATAAAGACAACTTGCTGAATAGTAATAATGAGTTAATATGAAGAAATCTGTTGAAAAAAATTGGATAATGTTAATTTCTTTTCATTATGGATTTAAATAATAATCTAGTTCAAATGTAACATATTAAGTAGGTGCTGCTTTGTTTTTTTTGTTGTTTTGCTTTAAATACAAAGGGCCATTTTAGCTTTCTAGAATTAAAAAATACTTAAGGTGTGTTAGTTACTGCTACTGATTATCTTATAAAATCAAAATATACTGTTGCTTTTAAATGTGTAGTAATTTTCTTAAGAATTTTCCAATCTGTGTTTTGTGACTACACCTACAAGTGAAAATATCTGACTACTACCAAGAAGAATATCAAAGGTTTTTAAACAAATGAATCTATATTTATTTTAATCACTATTATGAATAAAATTTTACTTATAAATATCAGACCATAAGATAATATTTGACAAAATTTCAAATAAAGAATTAAAGAAAATTTTTTGGTATGAAATTTCAAGATAATCACTGTAAAAGTCAAAATGGCATAAACATGTTGAAACTCCTAAAATATTACATTTTATATTTATATCACAAACATAGACTTCTATACTTAACATGCTTTAATCTTCTCCACACAGAATCTAGATTTATAGAGAGAAAAACACATACTGACCAAAATGTAAATGACTACTCAAATCCATAGTTGATGGATTTCAGTTTCTTAAATAATACCAAGCTGTCTCTAGAATTTCTAATTGACAAAGATGTACTCAAAAAAATTTTTTTAAATAAATGTAACCTTATTTTTTCTAATTCAGGAACCACAGCAATATACCTTCTAATACCTGAGAAAGGAGATATCCCTTTCTTTGATATACTTCCTATAAATAACAGTTCCTGCTTCACATGAACTCAAAATTCAAAAAAGACCTCAAAATTGGTTGTGCAATATGGTCTTACTGCTATCCTGGCTATAGGAATTGGCACATTAGGCTAAAACTGCCATTTAAAATGCAAGGCTAATCCTAAGGACAGTTGTATTAGCTTCACAAATCTGGTTCTTGTAGTATTAAATCTTAAGATAAAAGTGATCTGTCTGAAAAAAAGCAAGTCTTATCAAATAGTTACTATTTAATGAAAGGGTAAAAGTTAGCACTAAAGCTTAGAAAACAGTTTAAACATACATTAAATAAAAGTTCAAAACAACATTATTTTTCATGTAAACTGAAGCAATACAAGTCTCTACGCGAAAATTTCAAATTATTAGCAGTGTACAGACAAAATGGGTTAGGTGAATAAAATTTTCACTTTTAAAATGGCATCACATAATCAAAGCCTCTAGAAAAAAATGTATTCCTCCTGAATCTGAAGTTCTGTGCATTTCAGCTTGTATTCATTCTCTCACTGTTTCTAATACACAGTCAAAGAATTAGCATTCTGAATTGTGTCTTCTAAAGACATCCATATTCAGAGCTCATAAAGCATACTTCATTCATTTAAATTCTTGACTGACGGCAAACTTAAAGTCTAACACAAATGACAGAGTAATATTACTTTACATAAAGATATCTCTTATAAGAAAAGCATATCAAAGAGCTTAAATGAACCATTTCCAGAGCACGAATATAAAAGGGAGAAAGGATATAGCATGAATAAGTATTTGTTACAGGTAGCATGCATTTACCATGATGGGTATATAGCCTAAAATATGACATCTTGGCTCTAAAAGCTAGACACTCTAATAGAAGCTATATTTTCACAATTAAGAGAGAGTAATTGAACATTATAGAACTGACAAAACTCTTTATTTTAGAAATGTTGGCAAACAAGAGGTAAATTTGTGGAAATAATGATGTTCTAAAGTTTTAATTATAAGGGAGAAAAGGTGAAAGGAAAGGAGGAAGGAAGAAAAG